GCTTTTGCCTAAAGAAACTAAAACACTTAAAAGTAAAATAAAATCAATAGATTCAATTTGCTTCCATTAGAACAATTATGTTATTTTACAATTGTGTTCTTTAGTGCCTCTTCTATTTAAAAGATTTAGAGCAACTTAAAAAAAAACACTATTGTTAAGAATATTTCTCTTTGAAGTTACTGAACATAAGACTATTGAAAATCATAGCATTTTCATTCCAAAAGAAATTCATATATAGGAAAAGTTTAAACATTTCAGCTTTTGAAAAATGTTTTTATAAAATACCTTTTAAAACTTTGAATAAAGCTTTACTTCACAATAACTATTGTTTTCTGATACTGAAAGTAAGTGGAAAGTTTTATACCATTCCTCAGTTAATGTGTATTCAGCATTCACATTCAATAATTTTAAGGTTTCTATTCAGACATGATTAAATAACATATTGTAACATATGGAAATCTAAACAGATTACTACAATTCAGAAGAGTTTTAATACCTCTTTAATATCTATTGTTTCTCTGTTAAAATGCAAATAACTGCTGAATTAATTACACTTGTTTGCACATTTCCAGCTGAAAAACCTCCCAATCAAGTCAAGATATTGTACCGCTTTCAGATGGCTCTTCCATAGAGTACAAACTTAATTCATATTCAGTCAAATCATACGAAAATCATTGTTGCCACAGCTAAAAAAATCATCTTGAAGTATAACATCACCATTTTATTAAGTATTTGAAATGGGCAAGTTTATTTCAGAAGCAACAAAACCCTAATAATAATTAACACTGATTTTCAATTTGGTTGTCATTTATTTATACAATGAATTAATGTAAAACCATCAAAACTGTGCTGTTTCAAATATTTTCATGCTTATCAATATAACTGAAACAGTTTTTAAAGCTTGTGGATTATTCAACACTTTCATGGCTTTATTTACACAGAAGCATGTAAACATACAGTATAAATTTCTGGTTCTTTTTATCTCCTTACCTCTCCTTCCAGTTCTTGCACCAAGCCCAACTTTTGCTGGTTTTCTCATTTGTTAGTTTTGCTAGTTTTTTATTCTATAATTGGACATTCATATGTATGCACAAAACATTTTTTCTTCCTTCTAGAAAGTATATATTTATACTGAAGAAAATTAAAGACAGTGGAGTACTTTGCTCTATATCCTTAACTGAGTCATATCAATGTTTGCCCTTGCCTAAATATACATGTTAAAAATGAAAGATGTAATGCTTTGTATTGATATGTCAAATATTTTGGCTTGAAAATACATTTGTAGCTTTACCTTCTTTTCTTCAAGCCTTTTTTTTATTATCTTGTGAAAAACATCAATTTTTACTGTCAGTAGGCAATTTCTTAAAGTTCATGGGAGTTTTTTTTTCTTTGCTCTATTACTGGATAAAATGTATGTGGGCTGGAGGACATACATTTATTTAGAAGGGAAGTTTTGTATATAAATTCTAGAGTCTTTTTTCAAATACTCCTGTTATGCATGATAAAAAGAAAAAAAATTAAAAGCACTTTCAGAGAATATTCCATTTTATCTCCATAACATCCCTATGTGATAGGAAGTCAAATGTTATTATCAGCATTTTACAATTAATTATTTGTAGCTCAGGTGACAAAACTAGCAAGAGACAGTAGGATGGCTAAAGTCAGTCTTGTGACCCAGTACTTTGGCCACAGACCACATACGCCATTGTCATAATGTGTTTTGCCTTTTCAAAAATACTCAGTGAAAAGCTATGGCCTAAATATGAAAAATTACATTAACTTAAGTTATTATTACATGTCAAATAACTTGTAACTTAGCAAAGTGAGAAATATGCATTAAACAACTTACCCACAAATATACTGAAAACAGTTCTCAAATAAAGGAATTTTCACATAGGTATATAGTTGAATGAAGGATAATTGCCAATAATTTGTTTATGGGTCTACATTTTATTTTCAAATGACTGACTATTTTGCCATGTTGATCTACTTTCACTGTTAGAAAAATGTTGAAGGGAAAAAAAGCAACATTTCTTATTAAATACCATAAAATTAAGTTATATAGAATGATGTGTATTTTTGGTGGCATACAAGTTTATATTTATTTAAAAGGCAGTACCTATATACAAACCTTGGTCATCATTTGCAAATGTTCAGATATTTTGTGGAAAAGAAAAACAAATGAAGAATGAAACACAAATACAATTCCAAACACAAAAAAAGTACTTCTAGAAGACAGTCAAGGGGGCTATGAGTCACATCAAATGAAAGCAAAATTAAGAATCCTAAATAAAGGTTTAATATGGTAATATGATAACACAGAATCTGAATTAAGCCAAATCCTCAGGTCTATGCTAGAACTATTTCATCATATATGTAATCTTTCTACTCTAACATTTTTCAAGTTCTCCTGTAAAATATTATCTTTGGGAAAGAAGATAGAATAATAAGGCAATACAAACTGCATTAACCAAGCTTCGTAGCAAGACTTTTCCTTGTTTCCAAGAGACACTTCAAAAGAGTTTCATTTCCTCAGAAATCTCTGTTCTATGCTCCTTTTGTTGTAAAAATTAGACTCTCTATAGTGTTTTTTTTCCTCTTGCTTTAGGACATATTACAACAATCAACAAAAAATCTCATTGACCATGCCTACTATGGTTCTCACTGTATTTTCTACAGATAACTCCAACAGAAGCTTTTGAAGGATGAGAGGAAGGGCATTCCTGTTGAAAAATATTGATTCATGGGCTCTATCAAAATCTAAGAAAAAAATAATTGGGGGTAGAGGAACTGGAATCTGCATTTAAATAAGCTCCTCAGATATTTTATGCAAACCATATTTTTATAATCATCCCTGAATAATTAGTATTTCATGAAACGTGCCTGGATTTGTACAAATTTGAACTTTCAGGGAGCAGAGTCACTTTGTAAATGGAAAAAGTAATAATAAATCTATGAATGAATTAATGGACTAATTGGGAACTGAAGCAAAGACCTACAAATTGTTTGATTCTATGTAGATGCCAATGTTCAGCAGATTCACTGTTCTCTCAGATCCAAATAATCAGGAAAAAAAAAAGATGCCAATATTCCTAGTGCTGCATATTAGTCTTATTAGTATGAACTGCTGTTCACATAGCAGGTACATATTTGCTGAATGATCTTAGATTTTAATTATACTAATTTATTTAGTGAACATTCACAAATATATGTGCAGATTTTCTATGATATGTGGTTAACTGTGGTCATCAGTTGCCAGTATAATTACTGGAATTTTTTAGAATATCTTATATTTAAAAATGAAAGCTACTTAGATCGAAGTGGTTTAGAAGATACTTTATTAAGTATGTTCTAGAGTTTGAGCACCACTTGGTAGTGCTCAAAATCATCTTATCTTAATACCCTACAAATTTGGATTTTTTTTATCTATAATATGTACTAATTTCATATTAAGTTATTATGGTACTATGCTGAATGAATTTCTAAGCAGTATTTAAAGCAATCTTACAGACAATAATAAAGGATCCATAAATTTAGTTTTTGAAAGTCCTTAGACTTTTAAAAAGAATCTTTCATACAAAGAATCTTCATTTTAATGTGACAACTTCCCTGTTATCCTGATATTCCCAATCATCAATACTCAAAGAAATCAAAATTTGCATGTATGTTCCCCTATGTTTTAGATAATTTCATATACTTTAGATCATTAAAAGGCAGATATAGATATGCATAGATAGATCATTTTTTAAAAGCATTTCAGGCCCTCTCTCTCCCCCTTTTTTTTAAACATCATTGATTGAGAGCATCCATTTCTCATTAGATGAAATACATGTTCTTACTTTCCAAATATTGGTGCTTTCTGCTTTAAGAAGCCCCCAACTTTCATAGAAAACAGAACAGAAAGTGAATTGTTTACTGTATAAAGGTTGGTAATAATGCAAAAGAATCTGCCAAGGGATCACCTTAATGTACTGAATCCCTCTAGGAAATCAAGTTATATTTTACATTATTTGGTAAGATACTGGGATTTTAGAAATTCAATTACTGTATTCTGCAAAGTATACAAATATAATTGTACTTGTTATTATTACACTTAAATAAAATATATCTGCAATTACTTTTTTTGGTAATATAATTTTACTTTTAATTTTTATATGACTATGAGATAGACCAGAAAGTATAAAGCATGACGGATGCAGTTTTTCTCTTCTAGCATATCTGGAATGTGATTTTTAGAGATCTGCCTCATCATCAATTCTGAGAAAGTCTAAAAAGACTTGTAAAACGAGTATGTCATACCAAACTGTATAAGAAAAGTAGTTGTATCTTTCAAATAATTCTATTTTAAAGAGAGTATAAGTTAGAGAATAATCAAACACATAATTGCAATTTCATTAAGAATAAGATGAAAAATGCAAATAATATGATGAAAATGGGCTTACATTTACAAGCTATTTTTTAAATTAGTAGAGTTCTTCAAATTTTCCATCAAAGTTAATGGAGTAAAATATTAAAAGTATTTATAAATCTCTTGTTGCACCATTGCAAACTGTCTTTCCATTTTTGAAAATTACTGATTTTCATAACTTTAAAAAATATGTGAAGATCCTATGTAATGTCTCATTCATTGTGATCACTAATTTCTAGCCTAATTACTAAAATATTTAAGAATATCTTATTCTTATATTTGAAGTTGAGAACTATTTAGTTTGAGGTAACTTAGCAGATATTGTATTAATATCTCTCAGAGCACCAATTTCAGAGGTGCTTAAAATTGTTGTATCATAAAATTCCATAAATTTGGATATTTTATTCTCTGGAATATATTAATTCCTTATTAAACTATTAAACTATTTTTGTACTATGAATTTATAAGTAGTATTTAAAACAATCTTATAGGAAATATTTAATCTACTTAAAAAATTATAGGTTCTATAGTATTTTCACATGCCCAATTCACTTAGAAAAGAAATCCACAAATATACAATTAAACTCTGAAGAATTTAATATTAATCAATATTAATTAAATACTAATCTATATTATTAACAATGTTATATTTTTTACCAAACAAAACAAGGGTCAACAGTTTTGCTAACTTCTACTAATTTAACTATAAGGCTTTTTTTCCCTCTTCAAATCAACCAATTTTACTGTGGAATAATTCTTTGTTATATTAACATTAAATAAAAATTATACTTTTTAATTATTATCACTTCACAAAGTATACAGACTGCTTCCTATGCATAAGAAAGAAATGTTTCAGCTAGTTATACCTTGTATAAACAACAATAACAAATTAAACCCTTAAAACACATAACCTTTAACAAACTCATTTTACACAATGTTGTAGATTAAAAAATATATTTTAAATACCAAATATCTGGTATTGTATTTTACAAAGATTCTTTGCTCTAAATTTTTATTTCTAATAAAATTTCAAGAACTTAGTGTCTGTATTTTCCTCAAATATGTACAATCACATATGTTTCTCTGGAATCAGAGTTTCAAAAGTATTGTCTTAAAATTATTTAATACTAAACAAAATGATGGACCTCTAATATTAAAAGGATTAGGAAAGTAGGTATTGTATAGTTTCTAAGCTGATTTAAGAATATTTCATCAGTTAATTAGTGTAGGACTTGAAATCCAATGGACATTAATAGAGATATACATAGCTATTAAAGATGGCAGGTCTTAAAATCAAATAACTTAATAACAATTTTATTTTATACCCATACTTCACATATTTATCCATTACTATACCATGACTGAAAAAACTCTTAACTGTTGTATTAACTGATATTAGTCATGTACATTTGTTTGATTTCATGTAAGAGATGAGCCATTACTGTATTTAAAGGCATAAGTAACATTATAAGTCATGAATTTTTATATACATTTCTTCTGAATACACTAGTCTATATTTTAAAAACATTTTAAAAATATTGGAGTCATGTTAATAGAACTATTTGGGCCTTAAAAATAAAAATATTTCATATCCAAATAACACTGAACTTAACTGATGAACTTTCTGGGCAAAACAATCTTTTGTACACAATCTTCTGCTATATGACCTTTGTTCACTGAAACAATGAGGCAATAGGGTTGCATATGGCAGTATTTTAGGGGAGAGCCCAGTAAGTTAGAATATCCCATGTTATTGCAGGGAAATCTCACAACTAGAGACAAGTCTCAGTACATCACCAGTAACCCATGCTGAGATAAGAGATTCGTGGAACTACATGGAGAAAGTCCAAACTTTCGACAATCATTCTGAAATTTGTTTAGAACACATATTAAAATGTCAAAATGAAAAAAAGGTAATGAGGACCAGCTAATAATTGCTCATATTAGATAGTCTCAAAAACCCAGTCCTCTGGTCTTCAGCTTGGGATACTAGAGACTACAGAATAGAGGAGCTAAAATCTAGGGAGTACCAATACTGCATGGACACAATAGCTTCCTTAAAAAAATCCCTTGATATCACTGGTTATATGATTTCCTCTACTCTGATTAGATATTCCTTAGGCTATCAGGAATCCCCAAGTGATTCTGATCATGTATGGCTTTCTTCAAAAGATTCTCTTTGCAAGATAGAGTATAAAATTGCCTGCCTGTGGGTATCAGCTGACCATGAGCTGTCTATTATTTCAAGGAAAGGAGAGAAATGTATGAGTACAACCCAATGTCCATATACCAAAATGCCAACGCTGATATGACATGGGCAATATCCTGGCCCTTCCATTGACAGTCACTGTTCAAGACATGCTCCCTTCACTGACTGAAGCAGAGGAACAATTTACAGGCATAGTCATAGAACACAACTGCGTTAGAGTCCATTCTTATGAGAACAAACCTATAGGGATAAGTACCACAGACTGCTGAAACTTATCTTGTCCCTCCAATACTCAACTGGCCTGCAGAATCAGTTTCTCTAGGAAACATCCCCTGATCACTGTCCCCTGCTTCTGCTTTAGGTGTTATCCCTATAAACAACTGTGTACTTAATCAAATTAGCACTTACAGCAAAAGCTATTAGAGTTACATATTTACATTTTTATCTTCAACACTCAAATATAAAGTTCCTGCAAACAGAAACCATGATTACTTTATTTTTATGTCCCTTGGACTGAGCCTAGTGCTTAGCACATAGTAAATGCTCAGAAAAATGTTTGCTGAATGAAAGTTGAATGAAGGTGCTACCACTAACTACATCTGGCACATCTGCCACATTAATGACTTGAGGTGGGGAGAAAAGATTCCTTAAGAATACCCAGACCTAATTATTCTTAAAAAATAAAAGATGAACAGCATGAAGTGAAAATACCATGACATAATCTCTTCAATGCTGAAATGAATGAAGTTACTACAAAATCAGAAAACACAATGTGGCAAAGGTACCTGACATTACTCTGTTTTATGCCATTTCTGAACACAGCTTGGTATTAGTTTTATCAAACTCTATGCGTTATCTTTGGGAGAAAACAGATGATTGCTATCTTGGTCTATTTCCATTGCTGATAAAATAACACATTTGTAAGTCTATGTATGGAGACCTATATCATCTATTACAATAAAATTTTACTGACATAATCCACTTAAAATACAGAAAGCTGATTTAGAAAAAAAGAATTTTAAAAAAGTCTTTATATTTCTGGGACTCTTCATTCTACAGTATGTTAAACTTATTTGAAACTTTCAAATAATTACATTATTTACCTGCTTTCTAGTATAATGTCATGAATTAATTGAAAATTGTTCTAATTACTTAGGATAGAATAACTGGTATCATGGAATTAAAAGCATTGTTTCATATGTGTATGACTCTGAAATAAAATTTAATTTCCTTCTTTTAGAAAAATGGTTTTCCAGAGGGAAGTTCAATGTTTAAAAAACTGCAGAGTGCAGAGATTTCTAATGATAAAAAGCATTTATGTACTTCATTAAAAGGTATAAAAAGATCTCCTACATATACAACATTAATAAGGTTTTCATGAAAGCAATGGGCCTAAAAAACACTGAAACCTCTGCAAAATTATGTCATTTTATAGAAGATATAAAGCATCAATTTACTTATGCCCCTGTAAGTTTTACTTTATTTTTCCTAAATCATTCTTGAAACAACAGGAGACATCTTGAAATGAGGGCTTAAATATGTACTTTGGACATATTTTATAGACAAAAGATATGATCAAGGCAACCATAATGAGAGACTTGTAAAGCAGATAGACTTGAATGTTTATCAACAATTGCACACAGAATAAAGCTTGATTAAATAGTCAGAACGTAAAGTGCTGCATATACAAAGCACAAAGTACAAGCTAATAAATATTTCACATTCATAGGTGGTTTCAACTCAGTTCTTACACACAACTTCATGAAAGTCTAACGCAAAGAAAGCATGTGTTCAGTGGTTTCTTTCCCCTAAGAACTATTCAATACCTTTAAAATCTCTTAGTCACTACACATTTTTACAATGTCAGAGAAAAATAAAAAGAGGAATTATTAATTTTTAAAATTACCCAGCAATTCCATTGCATCATCTTCATTATCAATTTCTTCTTCTGTTACAGGCAGGGCAGGGCCATGGACAGACTCGTTAGAGTCCTGAGAGAGCATCGCCGCCAGGAGCTTCTTGTGTTGCTGCTGCTGCTGCTTTAATCCTTTCGTTTTGGGCTCCACCTTTAAGCTGAAGAAATATTTGTGTCAATTTTCAGTGATGATGACGTTATCAATGTTATAGCAACTTAAGAAAACCTACAAATTTCCATTCAAATATTTTGTTATGCAATTTATGGACATGAGTAAAATTTTTCCCAAGGATAATGTAAATACAGCCTGTTTTCTTTCATAGACATTCTTTGGTGCTTCACTAACAACTCCCCAGGTAGGCACAGGTGAAGAATGTGGCAAAGGTACCTGACCTTACTCTGTTTTATGCTGTTTCTGAACACATATTGTTATTAGTTTTATCAAACTCTTATGTGCTCTCTTTGGGAGAAAACAGATGATTGCTCTCTTGATCTATTTCCTAGTCTTGTTTAGTTCACCACTGCAGCCCAAAAGGCAGAATCTGTGCTCTTTCTCTTGATTCTAGTCAGAAATTATAGGGTTCTCTTGACATCAAGTTCCAGGTTGTCCAAGAGATCCTAAGAAGTTTCATACTTAACTGTTGCCTTTTGATTTATGTGTGAGTTCTGTCTTTTTTTTTACACACCTAAAATGTGACATTTTATAATTAATTTAACAGACATTTATTAAGTGCTTATTATATACCAGGCATTTTGGGCACTGAGCTACAGAAAAAAAGATTATTTCCTTGTGATTCCCCTCTCTTTAAAGCAAGTACTTTAAATCTAGAATTGATTTGTTTTTTCATGCTGATCTCACCCAGTATATAGCACCTTACCTTGCATTAATGTTCAATGAATACTTAACAAAATCACTTTTTTAGTCTCATTTTTTTTAACACAATAAAAAAGAACTAATTTAAGTAGATGTATGTAAGTCTTTCAACTTGAGAGAAATGAAAGTCTAGGCATATAGAAAGATTGGTCATGAAACAGAAAAAGGAAAAACATGTAGATCAGAATTTGGAAGATGAGTGACAAACAGCAGATTACAAAGGTAAAATTCCTACTCATCAGCCAAGAACGACCAAGATGATTCATGAAGGTTGAAGCAAGTGTCTTAACTCCTAGTCTTAATCCTAGACATTGATTAATTCAAAATGTTGCCTGTCTTGAGTCCATCTATGAGTCTATGAGTCCAAAGATGACTAGCCATGTGTTTTATAAAATAATTATTTGAACTAGGATATGCATTTCCTAAGTAAATGAATACATTTCTAAATAGAGAAGGAACAAATTTTAAACATATCAAAATAACCTCATCAAAATTCTAAAATAAATATATAATTTAGTGATATACTTTTTTTGGTTTTAAAGAGAAATTTGTGAGTCATAGAGTAAAATTTCTGCATATTTAAATAATTTTAAGGTTTTTGTTTTTTGATTACTTTAGCAGATTGATTTTGATTAATCAACTTTCTTTATGCTTAAAATCTGCATGTCAGAATATCCCTAAATTACTAAATTTGATTTAGTCTCTTGCCATACATGTTATCTGTATTTTCTACCTTGTCTACAATAGCCAAAATCTGAAATACTTGGGTTATTTCTTTGTTCTTGGGCTTCTTATGTAAAAGAGTGTCCTCCAAACATTTTTTTCCTTCTTATTCTGGTTTATTTCCCATCATACCATTCATCACTACTTGAATTTATGGCATATATTTGTATATTCACTTATTCATTGTTTGTCTCTTGCTGTCAATAGAGAGAGCTCTAAGAGGAGAGAGGGAAACATTTCCAGGCATTAACAGATATATCAGAAGCAATTATGAGCTTTAATGAAAAGGAACACTTTTTAATGGGAAGTGAATTTAGCTTTCATTTTAACATTTAATGCATATTTCTAAGTTTTAAGTTTTCTATTCATTTTATGGAATATTTACCATCTAATAACAATGCTCACTTAACAAAGCCAATTTACCAGATCTATAATAATTATTGTTGTTATTCTTGTTTTAATAAAGTGATTCAGCTTAGAGGAGCTTCATTAGGCTTTCAAGGCTCAATAAGCCTATTTACAAATTCACATTATGATTTAGCAAGTAATTTTAGGAAATCCATTACCCAGCTATTGCAAAGTCTAATTAAGATGGCTTAATATGTAATTATATAGGTTTATTAAACTCATTTTTTGTTTACTTTTATATTTCCTCTTCTTTTCTTACTTACTTTATTTCTTAAATTCTTTTAATCTAGAACCTCTTGGAAAATCTAATAAAGATATGGCAGGAATAGGTCCACATGTACATACACAGAACATTATACACATAATTGCAATAGATTCACAGAGCTCAGGTCCATCCAGAGACAATGAAGGATTCAAAGACTTGATGTTAGTAACTCTCGTCTCATTCTATTAGTTTCTCCATATTACCCTCGTAACTGCCTTCATTTTAACCAGTACTCAGCCCTTTAGGTAACAGCTATATGTACTAAAATTGTTGACCCTCTTCACACAGTATGGTATTTACAGGACCTAAGGAAGAAAATTCAGGGAAGGTATACTATTTGAAAGGTTCCAGGAAAAAAAAAATAGGTTTCTACTCATAAGACTCCCAAGGTTTATTATGCCATTTATTTAATCCTCTCTAAACTAATGGTAAAGTCCATCCTATCATGTATGTATTATTCTGGATGAAAGGGAAAGTTGGTTATGTACCAAAGATGGATCGTTGTAATAACAGCCATTTGAAAAAGACTTGAACAATTAACAATAGAAAAATCTATGATAGGAAAAGGGGCAAAAAGACTATAAACAATCCCTCTTTTAAATAATCTTAGCTTCTCAGATGCCTATCACAGTCTTCTATATGCCTCCCTCACTCACACAGCAGATGTCTACTGACAATGAGAATATGCCAGGCCCAACTGGGGAGTGAAAACTGGAAGACATCTTTGAAAATTAAGTCTACTCTTTCAGGAGTCTGCAATATCATTTAGTCTGTTAAAGTTTAAGGCTGTTAAGTTATTGTCTTGCCAATAGGTTTCAGCCCCAGGCAAGTTCGCTATCGATTCAGTGTGACCAAAGAAATTGACAGCAAAACGTTCTTTGGGGTGAAAGGGTTTATTACCCGGCTTGTTCTCCCAGCACTAGGTCGGCAGTAGGTTGAGCACTAGCAGCTCTGCCTAGGCCCTGGGCTGAGCTCTCTTATATAGCACAATAATAGCTTATTGCCTAAAGGTGTGGAAGTGGTAGCCCAGCAACAGGCCAGTTACATCATCAGGTGGTTTAAGTTCAGTGAGGATCCTGGCCATAGGAACCCCAACTTCCCTACAGTTATAATACAAGGTCATTGCTACTTTAAGTCTAAAGCTAATACTCCGTAGTTACAGACTCTATAGTTATTAGAAAACTTCTCCCAATCCATTCTTATTCATCCAAATCAAATTTAATGCTATGTGAGGTCATGGTATAAATTTGGAAATCCTCTTCTGTATTAGAAGATGGGAAATAGTTCCTAACCAATAGTTTACAGCTATTATTTAAATTAGTTCAGATAGGCATGCATTCTTTCTGCAATAATGGGGCATCAAGACAGAATTTCAACACTTTCTTCATTTCATAGGTAATATTTCAACTCATAATTTAAAGATAGAGAAAAATAAAACTGAAAACAGCTTTTCAAAACAAATATATGAGAGAGATCTTCATGGATTGAGATTTCTGTGTAAGAATTACAGGAAAGACTCCCCTTTAATGGGTATTCAAGAGTGAATAAGAACACACTGAAGTTGGGAAGAAAATAGAAGCACTAACATTTGCAATATAGTTCTGATCATTGACTAAATGAAAGCAAAATGAAAGTTGACATTTCTCTATTTTACATTAAAGACCTAGCAATGAATAAAGATAAAGGTCTAGTGGGTTTCATAAGTCAGGTATTAAAAATCAAATTACCTTCACTGACAGGTGAAATTGATCTGGCACTTCACAAAAGAAGGTAAATGGGTTTTTAAAAGTGGTTTTCTTCTCCTTATACAGGACACTTCAACAATTTAAATAATTTAAAAGTTATTTCTCACGAAATAGAATCAATTTTCTATATGCCTGAAGCACATTAATGAGTATTCTGAATTGCCTTCCCTCAACCAAGTGATAAGTCAAAAAACCCTGAAATCTATTACATCGTAGAAAACACAATTTTCTCCTTGAGAAAGACTAGTCATTGGTTGCAGCTAAATTTAATGTAGGAAATACAAAGTTACTGCAGCTATGCTATGCATAGGAAAAACTGTTCTATGGTGGTTACCCTCAAAGAAAGTTTAAGACCTGATATCTTCTAATTGAAAGATGTCGTATTTCAATTCATGAGTATTTAAAACCATTTTCTCAATCTCATATAAGCCATGCCTCCAAAAATGCTTTTCACTCTCAACTTTCTTGCAGAAATTTTCATTTTTGAGTTTTATTCATTGTAGTTGCCATTACAAAAAAAAGGTCATTTTGAATATACTTTTCCTATAAATATGATTGATATTTCCAAATTCCCCACTTTGATCAGCATATGAAAACTTAAGGAAAATCTCCCACCACCATTCTGAGCATCACAAGGCTGAGTAAAAGAAATATGGACTTCCAAATTCACAAATAATAATTGTTTCAAAAGTTAAACCTAGAAAATGTAAATAACTTAATCATAGTTACCAACTCTAAACTTGAAATGGTTCTAAACCCAGGCTTTTCTCTCTTTATATTCCACATTAATTCTGTCTTGTGTATTGAATTACACACTTAATAATTTTCCTCTTGTTGAGTAACTGCATTCCTCTGGCAGATCAGGTGTCCACCCTCTCCAATTCTTAGCAGTCAGCCAGCCACTCCTGCTCAGTATTATAGTAGGTTTCAAATGATAGCTTATGTGCTTGAAAGAAAATAATAACGTCGTTATTTTTCTATTTGCTTCTAGTAGCAAAAAAGAGGGTCATCTTCTTAGACATAAAGAAAAACCAGACCCAAAATCTAAAAGCAAATTTAATCAAACTAATTTTAAAAGAGAAATTAATTTTTATCTTATGTAGAATCCAATGTAATTTTCTATATAAAATTACTGAGTGAGTTCATCAAAATCATGCCCTTGAGTTTATTCTCCCTTTACCTTTTAAGGATTAACAATATTCAGAATCTCAGAAGACATTCATTTCATCTCACCTTCCTGCAGGGCTGGAGCTACTATCTTCACTTTCCCATTGCTCAATTTTACTTCTTGGAACTGGGGGCTGTAGCATTTCAGAGGCTAGTGGATCAGCATCATTTTCTTCTCGACCAATCCATTCTCCAATCACTCGGGGTCTCAGAAGAGAAGAATTAAATGCTGCAGATTCCTGAAGGGAAAATAATGTTCAGTCTTACATTAGTTATTCCTATTAATAGGGCAACAAGGAAATAATCCTGTCTACAGTTTCAACTGCTGCCTCAAATCAAAATCTTTTTTTTCTTTCTGAATTGACTTAAAAATTCAGTTCTCTCGATCTCTACTAGATGATTTAGTCTGTGATTTGTGCTGAGTTCTGAAGGTCACTGTGATGAAGGATCCAGGAATGAAATATTCTATTTGGATTTGAAAGGCTGCATGCATGTTCTCAGCAAGGAGACGCAGTATTTACGATAGAAAGATGTGTGGTTAAGGCCCACATAGTGAAAGAGTTATGGTGATGCTGGGAATCAGCAAATAATTTCTCAGGAGGAAACTGGGGTGGGGTCAGGGATCAAAGTCAAGAAATAGGGCTGGAAGCAGACTCACAGACTCTAAGAAGGGACAAGCGGTTACCAAAGGTGAGGGGTGGGGTAGGGTGGGTGGGGAGGGAGGAAGAAGGGGATTGTAGGGTATCATAATTGGTGCACAAGATGTGGGTGGGGTCACAGAGAAGACAGTGTAGCTCAGAGAAGACAAATAGGGACTCTGGCATCTTACTACACTGATGGACAGTAACTGCAATGGGGTATAGGGGGGACTCGATAATAAGGGTGAATGTAATAACCTCATTGTTTTTCTTGTGAAACCTTCATAAGAGTGTGTATCAATGATACCTTAATAAAAAAATATATTAAAAAAAAAGAAAGAGGGCTAGAAGAATGCATAGCCTCTAATTGTGAAGCATTTGGAACTTCAGGGATCTAACAGATGTTGGAATCAGGGAATATTGATAACAGGTATGCTATGCTAGTTCAAAAAATGTTAAAGCGGTCTCTTTTCATAGACTTGGATATGATGTGGCTCTTAAGGTGATACTTTACATATTTAAATCATTTATTATTTTAAGTGGATATGAGAATTCTAAATACATGTAATTGCCTAGGATATCACAGTGAGTAGGGAAAAAAAGCAGCTTAAAAAGCAACACCTATTGTATGATCTCATTTTTGTTTTAAAAATTCCTATGAGTGTATATCATATTTTGTGCTGGTCTCAGCCTATCAATATCTCATTGTTTAAGTTGGACCAACCCTTGTGGTTCTTAATTATGATTACAAGATACCCTCAGCAATGACCATGAGGAAACTGAAAAAGTAAAGGTTTACTATTTATAGGAACTAGAAACTACCCAGCACACCTGGGGCCACACAGTGAGGTTGTGGGTAGAGAGAAAAAGTGGCTCACAGTCAAGGGTTTTATTTTTTATTAGGTCGAGGGAGGGGACCTAGGTTTTTACAGGCTCATTCTTTAATGGTGAATTTAAAACATTAAGAGCAGGAATTTAAAGTAGAGAGAGGAAAAAAACAAGGGCCCACAGTAATGTCATTGAAATCAACCAAGATCTCTAAAACAAAAGAGCCTCAGTCAGGAGAGGTGGCCTGGTGCTATACCTAGGCAAGGGGCTGGCAGCTGTTTATTCAAGACAGCCACAGCTGAAGCGGATGCCTTGGCAATCAGAGCTCAAGTCAGACACTTGCATTACAGCAAGGAAAAAAAAACTCGTTGGGGTTTATACTATATCATATCATTCATACACCAATCCATTCATTTACTCATTTTCTTACATTTATTTAGACTACCATGTGCTAGCTACTGCCTGATTTGTTGGGAAAAATGATGAGTAGGACCAGAATTTGGTGTTTTTATCTGAATGGAGGGACTAACAGTAATTTTAATGTCTTCACTTGGCATTTCCCTGTCTCTTTAAAATTATATGATAAATATGTACTTATAATGAGAAAAAATGCATCTTAATATCTTGATCTGAGAAACACAGACTTTACTTAAATTATGTTTAACCGTAGTTTTTAGTTTTACAAGAGTCTTAAATAATTCCTTAAAAATTCAGGCCTGGTCTTCTGATCCTTTACAATATTCCCAAATATTATACAAATATAATACAATACAATATTACAATATCTACATTATAATGTTAATTAATATAAATACCACGCCAAAAACAGCATGTGAAATATTAGATGTATCTGACGAACATTTATCCAAGGGATAACAAGGAACAGAAAGTAGTATGGTATCTTAATATTGATTCCCTAGCCCACATGAAAATACAGCAGATCAATTTTA